CATGTCATGGTGGGTGAGAGCTGGGGGGTATCCCCATGTCATGGTGGGTGAGGGCTGGGGGGTATCCCCATGTCATGGTGGGTGAGAGCTGAGGGGTATCCCCATGTCATGGTGGATGAGAACTGAGGGGGTATCCCCATGTCATAGTGGGTGAGAGCTGGGGAGGTTATCCCCATGTCATGGTGGGTGAGAGCTGGGGCGCATCACCGTGTCATGGTGGGTGTGAGCTGGGGGGATCCCCATGTCATGGTGGGCTGAGCTCTACATGGAAGCCTGTGCTTGGATAGCGTATACCCTTTCCCCTGTTTTTCCAGAATGAACAATTAAACTGTATATGTTAGAAATATCAGTAATTTGTGAAATAAATTTTATTCTCATTTGAGCAACATAAATCACCATTTTGTTTGTTTACCACGCTTGTCAAAATCACAAACATGTTCTTATCAGTTTAAAAAATGAAAACCAATTTCTGCTGTAATCATCTGACAATTAGCTTGTCAACATTCAAATATTTTTCACCTTAAATCAACCGAAACGGTGATTGTGGCTGTAGAGAAACATGAGGATCATGTGCAATAGCTTTTTTCCCCCACACTTAGTAGATGAACTGTTTCTCAGTCTGACGGCCACCAAGACGGTGGTGGATTAATTGATATCCCCCACCTTTGGCCTGGGGAAGCCTGGAGACCAAAGCTTTATGTTCTGATGAGTATTTTCATCCTCTTATCCTCTCTGATGGCCTCATTTCTCCAAATTTCTTCTTCTTACCTCCTGTTTTTTTTTTTTTTCTTTCTGAGACAGAGTTTCACTCTTGTCACCGAGGCTGGGATTATAAGCATGAGCCACCGAGTCCGGCCAAGGCTTTCATATTTTTAAAACTTTGAAGTACAATGAGAAACATAATTCAGTAAGCAACTCAGTATGCACACACGGAATGGAAAAAGCTCTGTTCTATGTTATTTGTTCTGTTCTATTTTGTTCAAGTCTAGTTCAGTTTTTCAAAATACTGGTCACAGCTCGCCAACTTGTTTTAATAACCAACTTATGCCTTTCCACTGCAATCTGGAGAGCTCAGCCTCTCTGGCTGCTGGTCCCCCCGTCAATCACGATACTTTGGCTACTTTGCTTTCCTCGGTCAACAAAGCTTTATCAAGAACTTAAGGCTCTTTTAATTATCTGACTTCCTGGTCAATCAGCTTTGTTTGTGGTTTTAAATGACCACAGGGTAGTAGAAGTGAACATAATTTCCTGCCTGTGTAAAAGGATGACATCAAGAGGAAAAGAAAACAGCCCATTGGGTGAAGAACCTTGAGAAAGAGACGAATATTTCCTCTCTCGAGACACAGGACAAACAAGTTCACGCCTGAGCTGGGCAAACAAGGACTGCAGTGCCTGCCCGCGGCGCCATTGCGCCCTCTAGTGGCTGCTGAGGAACTGCTGTCCAGCCCGAAACTCACAGAGCCCCGCTCAGGCTCTCGCAACCTACCTAGGCGGCCAGAATGGAGCCTTACAGGTGGACAGACACCCCGGGGTGCACACATTAGCCTCTCGGGGCTCTCCAATTTAAGGCCAAGGATATCTTTCTTCTTTTTCGGCTGTGGAGAAGGTGGAGAGAGTGCCATTTTTCGAATGTGTTCCTACCTCTTGGGCTTCTGAGACTGCCGCAGTCTGTCCAAGGGTGGTGAGTGGGGACCAGCAGGCTCTACTTGCTATGTACTCGCAAGAGGGGACTACAGTGGTAGTGATTTCAGAGAGGTGGCCCTGGCGTCGGGCTGCCTGGACTCCAATCACAGCTCCACCACTTGCTAATGGAGTATGCTAGCTCAGTCCCTCGTGCAAGTCACAAAACCCTGTGCCCCAGTTTCTTCCTCTGTAAAAAAGGGATAATACAATGTTGGTATCCTTACTGCCCACTCCAAAAAGGGCCAGAGACTATGAACAGGACATTTACAAAGTAAGGGTTAATTCATACAAAACCTAGTGAACGGAAAATGTGTGTAACATCGCAAATGATCTGATGACACCATGTGCCAGACCCCAAGCTAAGCTCTTTAAGTACCATATCTCATTAACAGTCAATTATCCTATATCCTTTCCATTTTAACATGAAGAAAGTAAGTGTGTAAGAGATTAGGTAACCCACCCAGGGGTAACACAGTTGTTACACGTGGCCCCAGAGAAATATATCACTGGCTGGGTATTTCACGATGTTACAGCATTCCTGTTAAGTTGTTAGGTATGATAATGGTCGCATTGTTATGTTTCTAAAAGCATCTTATGTTTTAGAGGTGACATCCTGAAACATTTGTGAATGAAATACTGTGATGTCTCAGATTTACTTCAAAATAATCCAGTGCAGGGAGTGGTGGAGGACATGAGTTTGTGAACAAGACTAGCCATGAGTGAAGTTCATTCAGTAAAAAATAGAGCAGTTAAAAAGATCTTAAAAAACAAACTAACTCTCAACCCTCTGACACTTACGCAAGTCTGCTGTGAAATAAGACATCCTGGCTATTCTGAAGAGCCGGATGAAACTAAGGACTTAGATACTTTGTTTTGCTTTCAAAATATAAACAGCTTTTTCCTCCCTGATTATTTGCTTATTGGGTAAATTGATAAAAACAGGAAGTTATAAAACTATTCATTATCCTTTTGGTGTATATATGAATATTCACATAGATTTGATCTTGCAGTACCAATCTTAGATTTATGAATTGCATTATTCAGGGTTTTCTAGAGAAACAGAACCAATATGACTTTTATATACATACAAAATTAAGAACTGTCTCCATGATCATGGAGGCTGAAAAGACCCACAATCCGCTGTCTACGGGCTGGAGACCCAGGAAGGCCAGGGAAGTATTTCTTCAGTTGGAGTCCAACACCCTGAGAACCAGTGGCGCTGATGATGTAAATCCCAGTCTGAAGGCAGAAGATGAGATGGTTCAGTTCAGTTCAAGCAGTGAGTGAGGCAGATTTTAAAAAGGGGTGGGGAAGGATTCCTCCTTCTTCTGCTTTTTGTTTTATTCAGGCCTTCAAGGGATTTGGATGATGCTGGCCTGCTCTGGGGAAGGCTCTCTGTCTTACTGAGTCCACTGATTCCAGTGCTAATCTCCCCTGGAAACACCCTTACAGACACATCCATAAATAATGTTTAATCTGGGCATCTTTCGGCCCAGTCAAGTTGCCATATAACATGAACCGTCACATGGGTGTTTTGATGTGTTCCAATTGTTACTTTTACAAACAAAGTGCATTCATCTGACCATTTGCCTTAGACAAATTACTGGAAATAGAAGAATTTATCTATTAAATAGATAGATTCATAGCTGATCATCTGATGCATTCTTCCCAATTTCTCTCCAGAAAGCTTGTACCAGTTGTGGCTTCCACCAGTGTTGGCTGAAGACGTCAGAAAGCCAGACGTATTCTAAGGTGTCCCAGGCTCAAGCCTGAGTTCCTAGTTTGGTAATGACACTGGGGAACTTCTTGTTTTATATATATTTTTTGTGCATTTCAAAAGAAATGATCAACAAGCTGTGATGGGATGTTTTTGGTCTTGAAGGACCTAGTAATACACTTCTCTGTTTCAGGGTGTGGCTGTGCAATTCCCAGCCCCACTAGTCCCCTGCCCTGTATGTTTATCCATCGCACCTGCTCTGCTGCTGGTGATTCTCAGTAGGGCACATTCTCAAGCAGGCCTCCCCAGGGGTGGCACAGGCACTCCTGCAGAGTCAGGGTCTGTCCTTGCTTCCATCCAGTTGGGTGGATCCTAAAAACTTAAGAGGCCATAACACAGGGGTGGAGTAAGTTCAGAGCTCCAAACAAAAGGGGAGAACCATCTGGCCTTTCCCAGTAACCACTCTGGTAGAGTAGGTTACTTAAAAACAGTAGCAACCCTAAAACCTGACTGGTGTTATCTCTTTTCCCAGCCCCAACCAAGGCAAAACAAACAAACAAAAGCCCATACTGAGTCTCAGGGTCTTTTGTGTTTGTGATTCCCATGTGTGTGGTCCCAGAGAGAAAGAGGATGGAGGAGGCAGGGGCTTGAGGTCAGCAGGTTGCAGTGGAGAGCTGCTCTCTTGTGAGGAGGCTGAAGTCCCCTAAAACGAAGAGAAAGCTTTAGATGTTGGGCTATTCCCGACCCTGCTGTCATGTCACTTTCTCTGATTTCATTTCACATATCACAGTTGACAGGGCACAGATACTCTGGAGACATTTCTTTTCTTTTCTTTTTGAGACAAGAGTCTCGCTTTGTCGCTTAGGCTGGAGTGCCGTGGCATAATCTTGGCTCGCTGCAACCTCCACCGCCTGGGTTCAAGTGATTCTCCTGCCTCAGCCTCCCAAGTAGCTGTGACTACAGGTGCGTGCCACCACACCTGGCTAATCTTTGTATTTTTAGTAGAGACGGGTTTCACCATGTTTGCCAGGCTGGTCTCAAACTCCTGACCTCAGGTGGTCTGCCCACCTCGGCCTCCCAAAGTGCTAGGATTATAGGCATG